AATGTTTCCAAATCAGCAATTTTAATCTGTTTTGTCATTCAGTTTTTTAGTTTGCAGTTTAGTGGGGAAAAATCATTTTATTTTATTTATTTATTTATTATTATTTAATTTTTTTTTTAATCATCGCTACCAGATGCAATTATTTAAAAGGAGTCAGCAGAGAAAAATTCAATGAACATAAATTGCTAAATTATATGCCTTGGTAAAGTATTGCAATATTTGTCCCATTGCACAGATAATGTAAATGAAAAGGTTTTTGTTAATAAATGTGGAACGCTTGGCATCTCCAAAGACAGAATGTGTGGAGCACTTGCCAAGAACAGTGCATTGGTTCCCATGCTTATTGCACCAAGTTTAGAACTTTGCCCCAGATTTTATCATTATAAATAACCCCACATTATATATTGTGTTTCCATCAGTTCATTTAACACTTTTGTATGGGTGTAATTGGTTGATAAATAGTGACTACTAGGGGGGAAATCTGCAACCTATATTTCTTGTATAAAAACAAGATGTATATCGATTTGATTCAAGGAAATCACAAGTGAATTGGAAGAAACTGCTCAAAACCACATACTCAGATACAACTGTATGGAGAATCAGCAGAGCTAAGTTTGAATGTTACATTGCTGATAAGTGTTTTATTTATTTGTATATATTCTAACAAGGCGGTACCATCTAATGATATAAATAGGGCATATTAGTTGTAGATGTTTGGATTGGGTAATGGTCTCATGTTTTCTTGCCGAAATCTCCTTGCAGCTGGTAGTTGCCAACATTTTTTGCTTCTGCCAGTTTTATTTATATATAAATAAACAGACGTTGCAGATTGAAGAAAACTGTTGGTTATTAAGGCCTTACACATTCGGCCATACATACATCATTAAGGAACGGAGTGTGAACTGACCCAGTTTTCTTCTTTTTTATTTCCCTATATATACTCCCAGCTCAGTGATACACTTTGATATGCCTATTTATAACTTTGAAATGCATTTCCCACCTTGTCTTACCATTGTGGATGCAAAAAATGTTTTTCGGCTCCTTGAAATTCCATCTCAGACTATTCTGACTCTCTACAAAAATACTGCTGCAGTACTGAGATAACAATCTGTATAAAAGTACAGATACAATCCTGCTCACCTGTTAATTGGTAAATGTGTATTTTGTGTTGAATTTTAAAACCTGGCCAAGATACTATAAATTATTTTTGTTTAATTCTGTTAAGAGGTGAATATGATTTCTGATTTTTCCCACTTTTTCTTGTCTGTGAATCTGTTGGTGCTACTTTTTAGAATCGATCTTTTTGAATTCTATTTGTAGTGCTGTGATATATTGACACACCGACATTACACAGATTTTTGGGATGTAAAAGAATAATAAATGGTGTCTCCATCAGTGCAAAGAGTTGGGCTCACTCAAGCACTGTAGACATTTGACAGATTTGCATTTTTCTTTCTTTCTTTTATATATATATATATATATATATATATATATATATTTATTTTCTAGTAATGGATCCAGGGCTAATAAGAGTCAATACTTGCACTTTGTCTGACTTGATTGTAGTTGGTTCACTGCAAAGTTGTCGCCAAAACACGAGATTTTCTTGCTTGTTTCAGTCTATGTGACCCTGTGAGTGTCAGTCTAGTTCAGCTAGACAGGGTCGTTTGCAATGCATTGCGCCATGTAACCATGCATGCCCACTCATAACCAATATTAAGCACCTCTGCTTTCCATGTCTTATGCAAAGCATTATTTCTTCTGTGTCTGCAGTCACCCAAGTCTGCTGCTTTATCAGTTTATATACCAAAACCTCCATTCCAGCCTCCAGATTAAATGCCATATATGCACATACATGCAGAGATAATTGGGTCCCCTTCCTTAAAAGACTTTGAACATTAGTTTTTTTTTTTTTTCCTGTATTGAAAATGTAATACTGTCTGGTTGGGTGTAGTTGATACTGATTGAAAGGTGCCCAATGTCCCTCACTGTTTTTCAATTATAGTGGGGAAAACTGGCTTATTCCTTCTAAGTGTATACAAACTAAATAATTTGACTCCTACCAACCCTGTCTGATTTACAGAATATTCTTCTTGACATCCAGCATTATTAAGCCTACTGTAGCCTGACACACCATTAATAGCGCTCAGGTTATATAATTAAATGAAGTGGTTATGATGCCAAAACTCCATCAGTGCCATCTAATTTTTTAGTGTTAACCTGTTTTACCATTTAAGCCCGGCTTCCTCTCTTGCTGCTTTCAAATGCGGAAAGACTGGGAGAGAAATTACTAAAATACTTTAATCGCAATAGACTTCTGATCTGTCTTAAGGGTCGGTAACTGTCATCAGTCATATAATGCTCTATTCCCCAAAGCGTGTGTGAATTGTAGGGGATTTAAAGTCAATTTAAAATTTTAGGCCACTATAGTCTACCCCCATGGTTGTTACGAAAGACCCAAACTATGCGAAACTCACAAACTTATAATAAAACTTATAATGTCTCTCTAATATTAGAGTGTGTCCAATAAATTAAACATAGAAACATCTTACTTTTTGATTGTTTCCCATTTTAACCAGTGGGAACCCACTTAAACAGCAGTGGGTGATATTAAGTAGTAGTTCAATTATGAAGGAAAATCCATTCATAAACCATTTTTAGTTTTTCAAAATGTGCACCATTTTAAAATTGTTGTGTAAATGTAGGTCCCAAAAAAATGGAAGGATTAATGTGACAATTTATGGCGATAGGATTAGTTTCTGTTTGCTATATCTTGCCATAATATTCAGTAGCTGACCAGAATAGTCATATTCTGCAATGAACAATAAATGCCTGTAGCGTCTCACGGTGCATATGTGAGAAGGTCTATGGATGAAGCACAAAAGTAGACATTATGTGACTTCTTGATCCATGAAGTGACATTTCCATTTTAATTATTATAAATTAACACCTGAACCTTTGTGAGCTTACAGAATGGGCCAAAAGATAAAATAGTCCCTACTGTGACAATAACTTGGGTCACATTTAGAAGAAAGCAGTTAAACACACAGCAGGATTTTAGGATATCATTTCATTATGCCAGAAACAAAAACTATAGCCGCTTAAAATCAAGCTTTTTGAAAAGCCTTGCGTAATGGAAGAAAAGTATCAACGATCCCGTCCCTAGCCTTTGTTGAGGAAAACCGAGCAGCAGCGAGTCCCTGGCCTCCAAAAAAGGATGACCCTTGTAGTCAGAGAGCAGTTTGGAGGAATAAAGTTGGATACCCTTGGTTTTAACAAACTTAAACTGATCAGACACACTATATTAAACTATTTCTGTGCCTAATTAAAAGGAATCACCATGGAGTCCTAACAGATCAACGTATTAAAGAAGGGAAATATTCCTTTAACACCACTCTGTCTGAGTCACACCATTCTCCAGGGATGTTCAAACTGTCAATTTAACACATATAACAAATTTTTGTGTTTATGATGTTGTGACTGTCTCTAATAATTAATGATCTATGTCATTTTTTTTTCTCCCCCACTGCTGTCTTCTGTGTAGAGCATGCATCATTTTGAACGTGAATTATCGGTAAAGTAATCCAGTGATTATTTGACTTTAAAGATGCTCTGTTTCCAGACAAATGTTGAAATCTGTTGCAATGTCACCATTGCAGTGCCTCCTAGAGGAAACAAAGCATATTTAAACATATGCTCTGATTGAACATTTGGCATTCACTCATGTGCGCCAGGCCATTCGCTACACTTACGTCTTATCCAGGAAAGACTTTGTCAAGTGCCTGTAGGAAAAGCTCTTACCGGGAGCTGATTTAGATCACCTGTTATTACACGATATACTTTTATGGGTATTTTATGTAACATATCCATTGGAGAATACGTAATGCTACTTAACATGGATCTGACATGTTTTTGGTATCTGCGCAAAATAAATGTTAAAACATAGTTATGTTTTATAGTATTTTTTTTTTATAGTATTTTTTTCAAATGTCCCCCTTTCTGAAGCTGTGAAAATAAGACGACTATTTAAAACAATGTCATTTGTTCTTGGCGGCAGTATAAGAATGCTCAACGTCAGCCTCTGCGTCATAAGTTGATTTGTGGCTGTTAAGTTAAAGGGACAAAAAGTAGGAATACTAAGAAGTGAATTAACATTCTGAAATGGCCTTGGATGGGTAATCACAAGGAAGGGACCATAATACCAGATATCTCTGCAATATATTTGGAATGAGGGAAAATGTTACAAAAAATATATAGGAAATATAGTAACCCGCATAGAATATGGGGGTTCCTAAGGGGGAGATGGACCAAAAAAGAAGAGGGAGACATTCACTTTATTAATTATAAGGAACCACGTGAATAGTAAGAATACATTTTTTTTTTTTAATATTCTTACTATTTACATAGGTTCTTAGAATTAATAAAGGTAGGTTCTCCATCTCCTTCTTTTTTTGCTGATCTCCCCCTCAGGGCCCCCCATATTCTATGCAGGTTCCTATATCTCCTATATATATTATTTGAGTATTATTCTCTCCTTTTAGGAGTCCGACTGTAGGTGATCACGTAGAGACAATCCATTAGCCCCTGATTGAGATCCGGGCACCTGGACCATAATCTCGTTTTAGTACTATTTTTTTTTTTTTTACCTCTATACATGTTACTAAAAAAACAAACACATTTGCCAGATTTTAATACATCTGATTATAATGCAAATATATGTAAGTTTGCATTTAACTAGTTACTATAATCCTTTGTGTGACCATTAGTGATGTCCCGAACGGTTCGCCGAACGGTTCGCCACAGACGGCGAACATATGCGGTAAACTTTGACCCTGTACCTCACAGTCAGCAGACACATTCCAGCCAATCAGCAGCAGACCCTCCCTCCCAGACCCTCCCACCTCCTGGACAGGTCACTAAGAATGCAGCTTCACAATGAATGTAAAATGGATGCTGTCCAGGAGGAGGGAGGGTCTGCTGCTGATTGGCTGGAATGTGTCTGCTGACTGTGAGGTACAGGGTCAAATTTTACTCAATGATGAGTCCGTGGCGAACCGTTCAGCGAACCGTTCGGGACATCACTAGTGACCATTTTTTGTGAATTGCTCACTTTGATTTAAATACGAAGATCTGAGATGCAGTTTACTCTTTTGATCCACTGTTTTCTTTTCTGGAAATAGATATCATTAGCTGGCAATATATAATCTAAAGTGACCAGCTAGAATGAAATTGCAGATTATAAGAAATCAATATTTGCACAGTTATTATAGAGGCGGAAATGTATTGATGGTGTAAGAGGATGTATACAATACATTCGCTCTGATCCATTGCTTTGGGTTTCACCATTCCATGTTATCAGAATAAGTGAGGTATTAATGATCCCTCTCATTGTCTAGGGGGATTATCCAGCAACCTAGAATCAGAGATTTTCAACGTCCAGTTATCAGTTTAGATTTCAGTTTATTTTTTAATGTTTTAGCTGTTAATTAAGTGTTAATGGAAGCTCTTTGAAGAAGAACATGCGACTGAGCCAGGCCCTTTTAGTGCTCATGTTATAATTAGTGTATATTATATTGCGTTGATTCACACATGGCTTGGTCACTCCCTCATCAGTTTGGTCTGTGCCAATACACTGGCATTACATTTAATGTTATTACCTACACCTTCCCAAAGTGGCCATTACTAACTTATAATTTTTATTTTATTTTTATTTCATTTTTGGTAATTTTTCATCTCATTTTGTACAAATCATGCATGAATCCTAAATGTTTATTACTGCAACTGTATGTTTTGCTATGTTTAATAGATATTGCAACACATCTGGCTAGTACAATATCATTGTATTTTACTTTAAAGAGATACTTTGAATACTCTCCAGAATCGCATACCAAGAATTCTGTACGTTACAGATCACAAGTACTGACAGCACCAAGTCACTTAATGTGCTAACAGGATTTTACATAATGTGTTATGTTTTTGTGTTAAACATGTGATGACATTATTCACTGTATATTATAAACAGTGCCATCTTTTACTGCATGCCAAGTAAAAGATACAGAAACTCCATGTATAACAGATTTATTTTTCCTCTCTAAACATTTGCCACCGTAGCAGAATACCCCAAATTTAATTTAACCAGTTTCGTTCCCGTGGTCCTCTTTCTCCTCTAATTCTAGCAGTCTAAATATTGTAATATTGTATATTTTATTAAATTTTTCTTCTAATGGCTTTAGAATGATGGAGTCAACTGTCAACAGTACCAATAGGTGGCGCTATATAAATACCAATAATAATAATAAGCATTTATATTGCTCTTCTTGGATCAACTCACAGAGGCTGTTTCCCTCTCTTCTTGCTTTGGTCCTTGAATAGCCAAAAGATCCAATCCATGCAAAATCCTATATTCACAGAGTAAATATGCATTGGACCCATAATTGTAATTCAGGGGTTTATTGGTTACACCTTAAAATGCAGCTATTTGAGATCTAAAAGGCAAATGTAGGTGAAAATCGCCAAGGACTCCATGGCGATTTCTCAGTTGGATTTTTATTTAGTTTTTAAATATGTTTTTAACCCTACACTTCACATTAAAATTTTCTAGAACTCAGAGTTTAATTATTATTATTGCCATTTATATAGCGCCAACAGATTCCGCAGCGCTTTACAGTATCATGAGAGGGGGGATGTAACTATAAATAGAACAATTACAAGAAAACTTACAGGAACGATAGGTTGAAGATTAATGAAGCCAGTAAAGTAATTTGCTCAATTCATGAATGTGCAGCCATCCAATTGTGTTTAGATTTTCTGACTAAGCTCATGTAGGGGACATACACTATACAACAAACTATATATGTGGGATTATTACATTTTCTTTAGGCTTAAGTTTTCTTGATTTATTGTTCCAAAAGGTCTGGTAAATGTATTTTGACAGAGTTTTATTTTCCCAGCAAATGCAGGTTTGTCCCCCCCCCCTCCCAAAGATGCATGCTTTTAGTAAACAAGCTTATAAGTAAATGAGACTTACTATTTGTGAATATTAACTAATTAATTATTGTTTATTGCATAGGAAATTCAACTGTTCTGATACCAGCATCTCCGCCTCCACCTGCTGCTCCCCCTCCTCCTCCTATAAGAAAGGATGTGCCAACAGAACCAGCCAACCCGTCTGTGAATGGTAGAGACCGAGTAGCCTTACTCAGCTCCATTCAAAACTTCAGCAAGGGAGTTCTGAAGAAGGCAGTGACAAATGATCACAGTGTTGCCCGGATTAGCTGAAACCGAACGTAGCCAAAGCACTTTTTTTGCTGTAATTTTGGACAACTGAATTATTTCTGGCAGTGATTTTGTTATACTGCTCCCCAATTTTGACTAAACAAATCCACATACATAACATAAATATATATATATAAAAAAAATAATAATTAACTGGAATTTAGATAACGAGCTTTAAAGGGAAGGGATGTGTAAAGAAAATTGTTTTTTTCCCCCCTAAACAAAGTGTTTCACCTTTATTTTATTTTAAGTGGTCCAAAACTATTTCGTAACCTAGTCATATAATGCCTGCAGCCTCCTCCTTCCTCGACACATGTCTCTGCATTATAATCAAGGCTTTAATTCCAAAGAGTAAGAAGGAAAATGGCATTGCTCCCCGTTCTGGCATTGCAAAGGTTATTAGGACAATAGCATCCCATTTTGTGCAAGGCTTCAAAATCACAAAATATGTCCTTCTCTGCCTTAAACCGTCACATTCACTTCTATGCTCATATCATTTCAGAATGCACAACCTGTGGTCATACTAAGACATAACCAATTATTTGTGCCATTACATTTGTTATTTGATTGCTTGATAGTTAAATTATTGTAATCTATTCATCTCATCTGCCTTTTTTTTCTTCTAATGAATATGTTTGAATGCTCTCTAGCAATTGAAAGAGCAGTAAATCATAGTGAATGATACTTCAACAGCAATTTTTTTAAAGGGACACTCCAGGCACCGACTTTTATGCATTCTATACAAGTGCTTTATAAATGCCATTAATAATAATATAACTGTTGGCATAAATATATTTATTTATAGCCTAGCCTTTGTGGCTGTCCATTCACAGATTTCCCAATGCAGCTCAGTGAGAAGTCTTTGCAAGGCAGGTTTTCTGAGCTATTGATGCCTCTTGAGTATAGCTCCCCTTAGCTAACCAAACAGGGAAGTAACAGGACCGGTGGTGTTGCAGCCAAGGCAAGATTGATTTCTAAAAAAAAATGGCAACTTTTATTGAACTCTGCATTTTTCTGTAAAAAAATAAATAAAAATGGCACAAGCTAAAGTGCTTTAGGGATCTAGAGTATCCCTTTAACTTTGATTCTTTTGTCATTCTACCCCACCAACCCCCCTACCTCTCCCTTCAGCGTCCATTCTGTGCATACCTCCTGACCTGTAGTGTCTAGAGATAGTTGAACATATCCTCAGAAAGCACAAAGGTTTCTAGGGCTGAGTATAAAACCGATAACTTCTGTCTCCAAACAGAATTGATATTGTACAGTTCACTTTAAAATCTGCTAATCAAATCTTCCAGTTTTAGCCCTTACAATTTTGGGTTAAACGCATTCAATAGTTCAGACTCAATAAGCCAGCACGAGGGTCTTACAAATTGCCAAACTTCTTCCTGAAGTGGGCAAAGTTTATGGTGAAATGTTGTAAATTGGAAGAAAGAGACCAAAATATCTTCCTAAGTTTTATTGTTTTGAATTGTTCGTGCAGATGTGTAACATATTCTATATTTTTTTTATTGCACTGTATAGATGAGTTTCAGCCTGGACTGACCCTTTAATATAAAAGAAATGGTTAACATTGCTTAATTTTTTTGTCACTGTATTAGTCTTATTTGTCCCTTACTGGACCATGTCTTTGTGCATACAAATTGTGGGGAGAGGTTGACATGGAATGCTGTAATACAGGAAAACCGTGGGGTTCATTTAATAAGCAGGAGGGCTATAGCAGAGCTGTGGTGCCAATAGGAGAGGCTACAGACACTGTAGTTCTTGACCACACTTTATTTAGAAATTTAAAGATTGGAGATAATTTACTAAATTGGGAATAGACCAGCAAATTGCAGAGTTGAGGATATAATCCACTACACTGACATAGTGGAGATTTAGGACAATTTCAGGGGAAACGTTTCACATTTAGCTTCTTTGATTTCAAATGTGAAATCACCTTGTCTAATACCAGCAATATCTAGTTTAGCAATTAACCATTTTGGTGTGGGTTTTTTTGGGGGGAGGGAAGGAGGGTTACATACATTTTGCAGTGCCCTTTACAATTTACTGTTTAGTAAATAAAACAGGGAGTTTATTTACTAAAACATGACTTTAAAGTGTTACTCCAACATCCATGACCACTTCTGCTTGTAGTAGTGGTCATGTAGATCGGAGACTGAATGTGCTGCACACACAGAGACATTTACACTTTTTGTGCCCGGGCTACTTACATCCCCGGCACACGACTTTTCCACGATGCCTAAAGTTAATTTTTTTTCAAGCAAAAATATTTGTACGTTTCCTGCTTTCTTTTCCCCTCCATGCAGCCTTTCCCAGCCTCCCTATGTTTTGAAGTTTTTTTTTAAATAATTACCACCACTGCCTCAGAATGTGGGCATGCACCCAGAACCCATAAGAATTGTCCAATCAAATGCTTCTCTAGAAGCCTGTGACATCAGAGAGGCATAGAGAGCGTGAGTGAGAGCTTCACCTGGCGCTGGAACTCGGGTAAGTTTAACTCTTTATTCACTGCAATTTAGAGGAGGGGGGGAAGTGCCATCGATTAATGCCCAAAAGTGCATTTCAAATTTGAAAAAACAATGTAAGGGTTGAAGAAACCCTTTAAAGTCGCATTGCAGATATTAGGCTAAAAATGGCAGTGCGTTAATTTGTAAAGATATTCAAAGTAAATTACAAATTAGTCTGTTTTCATTTTAGCTATCTTAATTTCCTTAAATAAAGACTAGTTAATAACCTCAGAATGCAGAGTATTGTCAGCTAGGCTCTTTTCCCTTGGTGATAACTTATTTTTGTTTCTTCCCTTCACTACCACCTCGCCTGTTATTCAGTACATCTTTGTTCTATTAACCTTACACCCACAGCAATTGTTTACATTTTTGTATAGTTACTGAGCTCCAATCTAGCAGTAGGGTATATAACATTTAATACAAATGGTACACTTAGCAAATCTGAGCTTTTCATTACTTAATGTTTTTGCACTTTAAGCTGTTTTACAGAAGGCAGAAGGAATGTGTGTATATGGATGGTTCTCTGGCTCTGTAATATAATGTATATTCAGTTTTTATTAAAATAATAAACTGAGTTCTCAGTTGTAAGTGCCATTTTATTTTCACAATTGATCCACCCAAAAAGGCACGTGGGCCTTTAAAACTTGGTACACAAAAGCATTTGTTTATTTTTATGAATAAACAGAAGGCATGAATTTGTTCTGGTTTTCAAATTATATGCAAATAAGTATTAAGATAATTGAATAAGTTCTTAAAGGTCTATACAAAAAAAAACTCATATCCACTCCTCAATCACTTTCCAAATGCAAACAAAAACAGTTTTCCATAGTGTACTTTAATGGGATCATATGTATTCATGTCTCCAACGCTAGTAGATAAAGTCAACATCAGTCATCTTAAAGGACTATAGGACAAAGCACTATAGTTTTCTGCAGTGGTTATGGTGCCAGGAATGCCCGATCACCCTTCCAGTGTAAGTAGTTAACAGTTTACTTTATCTTGTACCTGCTACTGGAAGCATTTGCCACTGAGCTAAGATTGTCTGTGCATTGCCACGGTCAATGGTTAAGAGCAGCAGCTGACCCCCAGGGGTACACAGGTAGGTTGCCAAACTATTTTTCAATTATTTGACTTATCTGGCACTATACTCTACTGTAACATAGCGGTTATGATGCTGTGTGTTTTTTTTTAACAAACCTTAAATTACTCAAGTGTGTTATATACTGATTGTATCCAGGGAAAGCTACCTCTAATACAGTAGTACTCAACAGGTAGTCATTCTAATAGCATGCAGAGCATCATGGGTGTTGTAGTTTTACAACGCCTGGGGATCTACCTTTTGGGCACCCCTGCTCTAATATCGATGTGGAACTTACTTCACTGCTAGTTTTTACTTTTCACTCTTAGGAGTATTCATCCATCTTGCCAATAGGAATTTAGATAATTATGCCACATGGACTAGAGCAGGGGTAGGCAACCTTTGGCACTCCAGATGTTTTGGACTACATCTCCCATAATGCTGGCAAAGCATGAGAGATGTAGTCCAAAACATCTGCAGTGCCGAAGGCTGCCTGTCCCTGGACTATAGTATTTATATCGGAAATAAGTAGTTGTTTAAATGTCTTACCCTTTTAGTGGTGGGCTTAACACAATGTGGCCATATTGTGTTTTACTAGATCGGGAAATGAAGTAGCCTTAAGATTAGTGTATTTATGTGTGCTCCATAATTTAATTTGTATTATGTATGAATATTGGTCACTATGGAAGCACCATTCATGTAGAATGCATTTTTCCGGTGTGCCCCCAATACTTTGTCCTAAAAGGTCTGGCTTTCAATTTATTACAAAGCCAGACCTTATAGAACAAAGTATTGGGGGCACACCTGAAAAATGCATTCTGCAGCCTCAGAAACCTTCAGTAGTTCCACTTCTCTGTCAGGCAGTAAGTGTGTTTCACATGGGAGGTAGAAGGATGTCTGATGGCTTCCCTGTCATAAACCATAGATAATATCAGAGGATGTAGATTGGGGGCTCAATCACCTGTCTAGGACCTCTATGGTGCAGACACAGCAAATACCATAAAATAACAGGTGGGAAGTAGGGATTTTGAATTAGATCAGTGTGCTGCAAACCACGTGTGACTGTTTTTATACAAAATTGTATTACCGTATATGATCACACGTTTGTAAATGACCAAAAAATACTGGGCTGAATAAAAACTTTATTTGCCACACAGAAGAGGACACGGTTCGATATTAACTGTGAAACATTGTATTTTCCCCCACATGTATTAGTAGGGATTTAAACACCAGAAAGATTGTGTAGCGATGAGAACGCATGTTCCACTTAATATCCGCTTGTAACATGAATCTCCACATGAAGTAGGAATTGAAAGGAGTGTTATAAACTTACAATCAGAATTTATTACAGAAAGAGCTGCATTTAAAGTGTCTTTAGGCTGTAAACTAGAAGTGTTCTGCTATTTTATCGTAATGTTAAAAAGAAAAAAGTGTGACAGCACTATTTGTTTAGATGCCACCGCTAACAAAATGGAACATTCCAGATTGTGTTATTGCTTGTGGCTAACAGGCAGGACAGACATGCTGCTATGTTTGTAGAGCACTGAAGTGGTTCTGCCATAAATACAGTACCTGTTCTACTTGGATATGAAATGTCAAATGGTTAGGATGCAAGCTGAAATGTAGAGTAACGTGACTTACGCTGCACCTTGTTTAAGGCAAAAGGGGGAAAGGGCAAAAAAAAAAAAAATTTCACCATTGTGTACTTTAAATCATTGGAAGTTGTATGGCTTGTTGACTTACAAGTAATTGTATATGACTGAAATATACATTTTCATAACTTGGCCCATTTACAAAAAATTGTGAACCATATTTTGAGTAATTTCATGCACAGAAATAATTTTCTAGTTTAAAAGAAAAAGATTGTGCAACACATTTTATGTAAAAACAGAATTCCTAACGGGTACATCCGCAGTAGCATTCACAGGGTTACAATTTGCTTTCATTTTCTAAGGTGGAGATAGATGGACAATGGGCATGAGAAGCTGAGAGCAAGGTTAACCCAAAAATGCTAAAAGGATGAAAGGAAAAAAAATAGAAATAAAATAAATCACAGAAGCAGCTGTACATTTTTCTGGCATTCAATGAGTATTATTCTTACATAATTATAATAGATTAAGGGTCTTTTTCACAGAAAATATAATATCTTTCACTTGAGGAATGCAGTTGTCTTCCAAGATCTTGGCATAAGGCATTGGAACATCTGCACCTGTTACACGAACCACAGGAGCATCAAGAAAGTTAAATGCTGGTCCTAGAAGACAATGCGAGAGGAAAAGAGGTGTCAGAGTAGCCTAGTCTACAACATTCATGTAAAGATAATACAAAAAAAAAAAGTTTGGTTACTACATTTAGACAAACAGATTTACATTTTTGAAAGTCTTTGTATGTTATATGGCCTCTGACCTATGTAAAGTGTAAATCGCAAACATTCTGCAGCACCTCCCTTTGGAAAATAATAAATTAACCATAATGGCAAACCTCTTCCAAGTGGTCACTCTTATTGTAACCCCTGAAAGTGTTAAGCATAATTAGGGGGGTTTGTTAACAGCAAGAGTTAAAATGATTATAAGTGCCTAGAAAATGGTTTAAAAACTGGGGGATGTTCCATGCCTCATTCAATTCAAGACTTCAAACAGGTATTCCTAAGTCCTGAATTGGCTGTTTAGATTAATGGCCCCTCTCCGTTAACCGTAAGTGTGATTTTTGTTCCACGCTGGTCTTGTCATCATGATTGATATCTCAGGCAATCCAATAGGAAAGCATTGAGCATGCGTGGCCAAACGCTGCGCCAATCAGCATCTTCTCATAGAGATGTATTAAATAAATATCTCTACAGGGAACGGTCAGCATCTACTTGCAGAGGGTGGAGACGTTGAACGCCAGTGATACACACTGTACAGCATTAGACTAAGAAGCACCGCTAGTGGCAGTCTGAATGACTGACACTAGAGGTATTACCAGGCACCAAAGTAAACACTGCCTTTTTCCCCTCCTGAAAAGGCAGTGTTTACATTAAAAAGTCTGTAGGAACAGGCTATAGCCACTAGATCCACTAACTTAAGCTGTAGTGGTACTGTACCAGTAGTGTTCCTATAACGCACCAGCACGGTTAGTAGTCCCACACTAACCGTTAAGCTGGGTGCAGAATACAGAGCCTTTTAAATGACAATGACTGAACAACTACATTCAGCCACAGAGATTCTCTGGGATTACAGATGGGTTTAGAGATCTGTTTCAACAGTGATGGGCAGCATCAGAGGGAGATTTCCGCACTCATGCTGCAATCATAGATTAGAGACAGTAAGCAAAGGGAATCAGTCTGTCAATATCAGTTGAGGAAATCCCTTTACATTAAGAGTAAGGTTTAGAAATAGCGTCCGTTTGGTATAGAGAAAGTGTGACTTCAGTGTAGGAAGTAAACAAAGAGTCATGTCAAAATTTGGGATATTGTATTATTTGACCCTACAAGTTTCTAAAAATCTTGGTGGAGTTAAGAAATATATACAGATCTGCATTTCCTCATAAAAATAAAATAGGCTTATGAAGAAATAAAATAACCATGACTGCATAAACAGAAATGAGCAGTGTGAATGCAGGGACACGATTCATTAAACTAAAGTTGTTTTGGTGCTTAGTGTTCCTTTGTTTTTTATATCCACGGTATGTGCGCTGTTTTTGTGACTAGCATAGTTCACACTTGTTATGAAATTTCTAAACAGATTTGGGCGGCAAATAATTCAGTTTTAAACAATGCAAATATAAATACTAGTGTGTTAAACAAAAACTGATAGCAGCTCACACACTCATGAATGGTACCTTACTTCCCTCACCCCAAAATAATTTAGAATTAATCATGTGACCCTCAAATTCTGTGGAGAAATGAGACCTCGACACACCCAAGCTTGGTACATACCTTCCATTATTTTGGCACATATTTCAGCTCCAACTCCAAACTGTGGCCATCCTCCTTCAACAGTGACCAAATGGTTGGTTTTCATAACACTAGCCTCAATAGTTTCAATGTCCATTGGTCGAATGGTTCGTAAGTTTATTACCTTGAATAAAAGTGGGGAAGAAAAATAAAATTAAGAGCTTCTAAAAGGTAGCTTCATGTAGGTTAAAAGAGAGATGTTGGCAAACCAAATAAAATCAGAAATGTTGTTGTAAACATGTACATGTCTATTTAACCCCTTTATGAAATATGACATGTCAGGACTGTGATTTGCTCAACCTGAAGGAGTTAAATAGCTGTCCTATTTACCCCACACGAATTATGTGTCATACAAGTCTAATAATACTTGGCACACTAGATTTTTTTTTTTTTATGGAGATGAGATAATACACTCGCTTAAGTGACCAGCATACATTTGTATATAGGTTGGTACAATATGAATGTACAACTGACAACAATAAAATTAAAATAAAGTAGTATAACTCAAAGAAGCATGAGCATGTAAGATGTTTCAAAGCTGCACTGATAAGCACATTGGAATATTTTCACAATTTATAGAGTACAGGGCAGGAAAACATTACTTAAGATCCTGAGTGTCAAGGTTTAACAATATCAAGCTAGTATATCTAATCTTAAGAAACTTGAGGAATAATGCTCATAATAAATCATATGTATGCAAATAAGATGCCTCACAATTAAAGGGACAATTAAAACATCAGTTCTCCTGGCACTGAAGGTTCCTGCAGTGCCCCTCTCCCTCCCACCCCATTTTGCTGAAGGGGTTAAAACTCCTTCAGTGACTTACCTGAATCAAGCTCAGTCCACGCTCCTCCCCCACCCACAGACATAATATACATGCGCGGCAATGGCCGCACACGCGCATTAGACCTACCCAGAGGAAAGCACTCTTCAATGCTTTCCTATGGGGATTCCGGCAACGCTGGAGGTCTTCATGCGTAGCGTTAGGACATACAGCGTCATTTCAAATACTTCATGTTTTACAAAAATGGAAGTCCCTCTAGTGGCTGTCTGATAGACAGCCACTAGAGGAGGACTTAACCCTGCAAGGTAATTATTGCAGTTTATAAAAACTGCAATAATTACACTTGCAGGGTTAAGGGTGATGGGAGTTAGCACCCCCACCACTCCAATGGGCAGAAGTGGTCTGGGTGCCTGGAGTGTCCCTTTAACAAGTGAGCAAAATGAACTGCCAAGTACGTGCCCTTTTATTTCTCTATTTGTACAATGACCTCTAGTTCTAAGACACAATATAGCTGTTGTAAAACATGTTAAGATCTAACCCTCCACAGATTAAATACTCCCTGATACAATAGCGCTTAACAATAAAAAGCAAAAAAAAGCAAAAAAAAAAAAACAATCAATGCCAAATAGAAGTCCACACAGGTTCCCTGGCACCAAGAGTTATCCCACTCCCGCTGTTGGGATACTACTCTTCATCACAGGCACACCAACAGCCCTGGTACACGCTTGCTCAAGCAACCCCAGATACTCTCCCTGTGGCGGGAATAATAGTCGCTTAAAATTTAAAAAAAAAAAAAAAAAAGGCCCAAAAACCTCATGAGCCGAGCTTATATGTGGCCAGGCATGATGGCTTTTTGGTCCTGCTTCCCCCCACACTGTATGTTTTGTTTGTTACTCCAGAGTCTGTGTGTAAAGTGTTTGCTACATTTGTGCTTCGTTTTAGATGAATGAGATGTAAGGTCAGTATATAACATTCAATTCTTACCTCACAATCAATTCCTTCTTTTGCCAAAACATTGGCAGCCTCCAAACAATGGCCAACAGGTCTTGAGTGTGAAACCAGGGTTAACTGACTTCCTGTAATAAAATAAGGGGGTTACATACATAAATTTATAACAATGTAGAATGGAACATGGTTTGTTGGTTTAAATGTATCATTTGGTCTCCTTAACTGCAAAATCCACACATGCCTGCTGAAAGAGCTTTTACTAAACGTCTGAATTTCCAGTTCAATAGAACACATACCTTAAAGGAACTATCCAAGCACCATAACCACTATAAGCACGCTGTAGTGATTTTGGTGACAGGAGTGTGCTTACACCCTCCCAGGATAAATAGTAAAAAAAAAAAATAAAAAAAACACGTTTACGCGCTCATAATAAGAGAGAAGGGTTGAAGTTAATCATACAATGATTCCCAATTCCTTGTAAAAAAAATACTAGACAAAGTAACGATTTTTAAATAAACCGTGCCAGAAAAACAAACAAAAAACATGCACAATTATACATACATCAAAACAGTGAAAGTGTCCATATACGCAGGAGTATTTATTTTTACAGCAACATTACAGAAAACTCTCTCTAACACCAGCTCTACATTAGGAATCTAAACAATACTTCTCAATGATGATGCATCTCTTGTAAAACAGCAGATGGAATGGTGAACAGACTAAATATTAAATGAGAAGTACAGCTAAAATCTTGCAATATGTTAAAGAGAAAAAAAATTGGGGACACTGGTTAAAGCGGGAGTTGCAGATAGCATTTTGAATTTGCTAATACGTTAAACATATAAAGTGAATAAAGAGTTAAATGAGAGCATACAAAAGAGTGTATAATAACACACTGAATGTTGCCACTTGGGTTGTTTACAAGAGATCTTTTACGTTTGCTGTTTTATATATATTTTAAATCGAATTTAATTAAAGTTCCTGCAACCACCCCTATATGTGGTGTCTGTTTGGTAACCTAAGGGAAAGTGGCAACATTCAGTGGAACGTCTAACCATCAATTTCCAGCATCTGATCTCAGCAACCATCTTTATATACCCAAAAGGAGCTTATAGTCCGAGCCTGCTTTAAACGGCTCAGCACCACCTGAGTGGGATAATCTTCCTTTTATTCTTTTCAGTAACTTGTACAGGTTATACTATGATCTGTTATGCTTTGTGTTTTTAGGTTGTACCCTGTTATACGGTAACTTGCATGTGTGTGTTATTATACACTCTTTTGTATGCTCTCACCTAACTTTATATGTTGCACTTTGTGGTTTGAGTGACATACACAAGTATATATAGTATATATATATACTGTACATATGTTAAAAACATTACAGTTTATGCATGCGTTTTAAATAGTTTTGAATTTATTTTTAATGGATTTCTAAGTGCTTCCCCTGTGAATGGTATTTGCTGCCCTCAAAACTTGAGCCAGTAACAAATCGTTAAATAACCTAAGTTACCGCATATACGGTCATTCTTTGAGATTGTGAGACAGTGCTAGGGCATGCAAGTATTTTTCCTTTTTACGGCACTGAAATTACAATAGCATGCGCCTGCTTCTACAAGATTATACTTACTTTTCCACAGCATCATTTTCAATGTATGTTATTGAAATGTTTGTTTATATTATTTATCTTGGTAGAGCTATAATTCTGTATGTGTTTCATTTAAATAAATCTAGGAGTTGCTCTTTAAACCAATAAATTCCACTAGCTTTAAATGCAATTTAGAGTAGCTGATTCATGTTTTTTCTTCATGTTTTGCATTCACATATTAAAAGTACATGCATGACACTTTTACATACCTTGCCTTTCTACCTTTGCTTTTCCTAATGGAATAACAAAGTCTTTTGACTGGACTTCTTCAGATAATTCAAATGGAACACCGTACATCAATTCATTCTCTAGAAATACCACTAGAATGAAAATAAATATTATCAAACATGAATAAAATATACACACTTGGCTGCAAAAGTGATTACATCAAAAATATTTACTGTTCACCCCAGGAGTGGCCAGAAAGTATTTCTACAGCTATTATAGAACAACATTCATGATACTTTGCCAGGTTTACATCTGTGCAACTGTTGAGGATCTTCTTTTTGGAACCCTCTAGTTTATACTGAGCTTGTGTATTAGATTAGGTACCACTAGTTTGTTTACCTGGGTTATCATCCCGAATTGCTGCTTTCAGGAGACCTCTTGCATCTTCTGCATTCCAAGGACTGAGGACCTTGAGGCCAGGACAGTGTCCATACCAGGCTGCAAAGCACTGAGAGTGCTGAGCTGCCACACCTGCTGAGGCTCCATTTGGCCCCCGGAAGACAATGGGGACTGGTACAAGTCCGGCAGACATATAGTGTGTCTTGGCTGCAGAGTTGATCACTTGATCAATTGCTTGCATGGAGAAGTTAAAAGTCATAAACTCGCAGATTGGCCGCAATCCAGCCTGTTAAAAACAAAGATTGTCAGTGTCTAAACAATGAAGCTTGCAACAAGTCAGTACAAAATGTGATATAGGGCTTAAATTCACAGTACCAGATCACCACGGTAACTCAGAAACAAGGCGAAATGCCTATAGAGTCCCCCTAACAGCTACATTGCATGAAGGTTGTCTCTACGTGCTTGCATAACAAAGACAACTTTAAAGGTGAAAAAAAAGATAGCAATGGGTTATGCTTTATTTTTCTATAGACTTTTCAGTAGTTTTATTTCTTAATTTACATGGCACATAGGGAAGTCTAAGACTAGCCAGGCAAGGCATTATTTAATTTAACCCCCAAAGATAATGGAAGTGCATGCACTCATGTCACTATTAAAGGAATGTACAAGCGAGCATGCGCTTGAATGGCCTTTATGCATGTACAACCGAATGATCACAGAAGAATGACGCAGATGACGGAGTGTCATCACGGAGTGTCGTGATCAGTAAAACATCTATGTGTGACTCATGATGTGTGCCAAGCAAACAATGCTAGGTTCTAGGAAATTTTGTCAAGTCCTGGTACAGTACATTAAATACATACCATAGCAGCACCAACAGCAATGCCAGTAAAGCCCATCTGTTAAAAAATAAAAAATAAACGGTTACAAAACAGGAAAACCAATCCTTCAAATGTCAGTTGATGATCACATTTGATAACATGTCTGATGTATAGGGTATGGATCAAAAATCTTCCTTTAAGCAAAGCAAATCCATTCAAACAATAGCCAGAATTGTATTTGGAAGGTTAGATTGTTCTGATGTATTGCTATGGTAACCAGAAAGCAACTGTGGAGAACCTACAAATCCCAGTAATCATCCAACGTTTGGAAAATGGTCTCTGAAGCTGAGCTTCCAAAACAGCTAGAGAACAACATGTTCATTATAACTTGTGACACTTTCATACAAATTTAATCATGTAAATTTATTCCAGCTGATGCCCACATAGTCAGCAAGATTGATATAATCATACAAGGATATACTATGTAACAAAATCAATTAACATTATGTTCTAAATCCTGATCTGATTATAACTCTATGCTTTAATTGTTGGAGTCTGATAGTTAATTACAGAAGTCACTAAAACTGTTGCAGTCACCATCTGCTTCTTACCTCTGATATAGGAGTGTCCATAACTCTTTTGTCGCCATACTTTTTCCAAAGACCTCTACTGACCTAAAATCCATGTTACAGAAGGGAAAAGTTTATGAGTAGTACTCCAGGCACTCATGCAAGGTGCAATATGTATTATTTTAGAATTTGTAATATAACCCCTTTCAGGGAATAAGGCTTCTGGGAGATGTAGTTAAGCAGGCTGCTCTTTTTAGACTGTAAGGTGATTTGAGCAGGGCACTCTTTAACCTATTGTTAAAGAGTCCCCCCTTGATAATATTGTAAAGCGCTACGGAATATGCTGGCGCTATAAAAGTACAAATAATACAGCAGCTAATGACTGGGCTTTTGAAATTGCAATACAAAGCTAAGTTGAGTATTGGTTTCGCAAGAGAGCTCACTGCACAAGGTGCATGGCAAGTGTATATAAAATAAATGCACAAACTTCAAATGGGAATATAGTGGCAATTTTTCAAATTTGCTGCGGCTACTGAGACTGCCTCGGACATTCAGAAAATCATCATCTTCCACTTTGTCCAAGCTGTACATGTGGTGTAAACACAACCACCAAGCTCTGCTTCGGGCCATCTCCCCCCCACCCCCCATAGAATAAGATGTGCAGCAGCCATGCATAGTATGCAGCTCTGCAGATCAATATACTTGTTGGTAATGCTGTAAACAGGGGTTTGCATATATTGACAGTACCACAGATACGGATATTTAATATCACATACTGTCATAACAATTCATAAGGCTGCATAAACACAGCATAATGCTTTACTCATTTATAGGGAACATAACGGAGTATTGGGTTTTCTACAGATTTATTTGCGCACACTTGACCTTTCAAACAGTAGTTTTAGTAGGATTTTTTTTTTTTTTATAGAAATACAGCTATACCCACCTTGTATGCACCATCATACTGAGCCACCTCTTCTCCCAAGATGAAAACTTTTTCATCTCTTTCCAGTTCTTCATCCAGAGCCTGGTTTAAAGCATCACGGACAGTCACCTGTTAAAAAAAAAATAAAAAAAAAAAAGCAAACAGTTCACAGAATTTTAGCAACAACAGTTGACACTCTCTTCGTAAATGTATTAGCATCAACAATTCCTCTAATTTACACAGGAAGCAACCTTATGAAGATCATCAAAGCTAGCATTAACTACAAAAAAAGAGTCAATGTAAAGCAAGCATCTCAAACTCGCGGGCCGCATGCCAACAAGGACCATCTTTGCGGCGAGCCGCGAGTACATGCTGGTGTTATAGCAGAGTAGGCACCTGCTTTCCCCACATTGCAGGTGCCTACTCTGCTAAAACTTAAATGGCCGGGGAGGAAAGCCAGTGAGTGAGCACAGTGTTCTTGCTCCTCACCAGGGCCGCCACCAGAAATTTTGGGGCCCCTAACTCAGCTCGTGGTCTGGGGCCCGCCTCCAATCCCGCCCACAGGAATACACACAGACACAAAAACACACACTGATACAAAAGAACACATATACACATATAGATACGAACAGACACACGCATATAGGCATACATACTGAAACACACATATTTACAGACACACAGGCATACATAGTGACAGACACATACTAACATACATTGATACAGACAGACGCTGACATGTATACATACATTCATAATGGCATACATTCATACTGGCATATATACAGACATACATTCACACAGACATACGTTCATAATGACATACTGACATACATACATACATACATACATACATAATGACAGGGGTCCTCAAACTTTTTAAACAGGGGGCTAGTTCACAGTCCCTCAGACACTGTTGGGGGCCGGACAATAAACAATATGAACGAATTCCTATGCACACTGCACAAACACGCATAAGGACATAAATACACACACACAGACAGACACAAACATATACATACATACATATTGAAATACAGACAGATATGCATACATACACATACTGACTTACACAGACACACATATTAACACACATACATACTAACATACAGCTAATTTTGCTTACTTTTTTGCAGGTGGATGGCTGTGGCCACTTCCTCCCAGCAGTACTTTAGATTTAGTAGATTTTTTTTAAAGGGGCCTGGTCGTGCAACTGCACGGCTGCAGCGCTGACCGGCCCCTGAAGACACAGGGCTCATCGGGTGGCCCTAAGTGCGTGGGCCACCCCATGGGCTCCAACAGCGTGCGGGCCCCGGTACAGCTGCACCAGCAGCAGTTTCGCCGCTACACGTGTACTGACATACATTCACATAGACATACGTTCATAATGACATACATACAGACATACATAATGACAAGGGTCCTCAAACTTTTTAAACAGGGGGCCAGTTTTAAACAGGGGGCCAGTTCAATTCCTATGCACAATGCACACACACGCATAAGGACATAGATACACACACAAATAGATAGACACAAACATATACATACATATTGAAATACATGCATACACATACTGACTTACACACACAGACATACACACACACACACATTAACATACATACATACTGACACACACACACATACTGACACACAGCCATAATGGAAAGTATGTATGTGTGTGTGTGTGTGTCTGTCAGTCAGAGCGCGCGTGTGTGTCTGTCAGTCAGTGAGCGCATGTGTGTGTGTCTGTCAGTCAGTCAGTGAGCGTGTGTGTGTGTCTGTCAGTCAGTCAGTGAGCGTGTGTGTGTGCGTCTGTCAGTCAGTGAGCGTGCCTGTCTGCCTGCGTCAGACAGACGCACGCAGACGCGAGCGTGCGTCTGTCTGCGAGCGTCTGTCTGTCTGTCTGTGAGCATCTGGGTCCGGCACGGTATATTATAGGGGGTCTGGCAGGGCTGTCATTGTATCAGGAGACATGCAGTAAATAGAGGGTCCGGCACGGTATATTATAGGGGGTCTGGCACGATATATCATAGAGTATATAGAGGGTCCGGCATGGTATATTATAGCGGGTCAGGCACGGTATATTATAGGGGGTCTGGCACGGTATATCATAGGGGGTCTGGCACGGTATATTATAGGGGGTCCGGCAGGCCGGTCATTGTATTAGAAGACATGCAGTATATAGAGGGTCCATAAAGTAAGGAGCCATAATGCAAAGTATGTATGTGTGTGTGTGTCTGTCAGTCAGTCAGTCAGTGAGTGTGTGTGTGTGTGTCTGTCTGTCAGTCAGTCAGCATGTGTGTCAGTCAGTCAGTGAGCGTGTGTGTGTGTCTGTCAGTCAGTTAGTGAGCATGTGTGTGTCTGTCAGTCAGTCAGTGAGCATGTGTGTGTGTGTGTCTGTCAGCCAGTCAGCATGTGTGTGTGTGTGTCTGTCAGCCAGTCAGCATGTGTGTGTGTGTGTCTGTCAGCCAGTCAGCATGTGTGTGTGTGTGTCTGTCAGCCAGTCAGCATGTGTGTGTGTCTGCCTGCGTCAGACAGACGCACGCAGACAGACGCGAGCGTGCGTCTGTCAGTCTGCGAGCGTGCGTCTGTCAGTCTGCGAGCGTGCGTCTGTCGGTGAGCATGTGGGTCCGGCACGGTATATTATATGGGGTCTGGCAGGGCTGTCATTGTATCAGGAGACATGCAGTATATAGAGGGTCCGGCACGGTATATTATAAGGGGTCTGGCACGATATATTATAGGGGGCAGTATATAGAGGGCCCGGCGCGGTATATCATAGAGGGCCCGGCGCGGTATATCATAGAGGGCCCGGCGCGGTATATCATAGAGGGCCCGGCGCGGTATATCATAGAGGGTCCGGCGCAGTATATCATAGAGGGTCTGGCACGGTATATCATGGAGGGTCTGGCACGGTATATTATAGGGGGTCTGGCAGGGCTGTCATTGTATCAGGACACATGCAGTATATAGAGGGTCTGGCACGGTATATTATAGAGTATATAGAGGGTCCGGCACGGTATATTATAGGGGGTCCGGCACGGTATATTATAGAGGGTCCGGCAGGGCTGTCATTGTATCAGGACACATGCAGTATATAGAGGGTCTGGCACGGTATATCATAGAGGGTCCGGCACGGTATATCATAGAGGGTCCGGCACGGTATATCATAGAGGGTCCGGCACGGCTGTCATTGTATCAGGACACATGCAGTATATAGAGGGTCTGGCACGGTATATCATAGAGGGTCCGGCACGGTATATCATAGAGGGTCCGGCACGGTATATCATAGAGGGTCCGGCACGGTATATCATAGAGGGTCCGGCACGGTATATCATAGAGGGTCCGGCACGGTATATCATAGAGGGTCCGGCACGGTATATCATAGAGGGTCCGGCACGGTATATCATAGGGGGTCCGGCACGGTATATCATAGGGGGTCCGGCA